AGGAGGGTAAGGAGCAGGGGGGGGGGGGTGGTGGCTGGCTATGATTGTTGGGATCTTGAGAGTTTTGCAAGAAGGTTAAAGAAGGTTAATCGAATATGAAAGCACCAAATGGTACATATAACATGGCAGCCTTTTATTGCAACTTTAGCTCGATATCAGAGATGGACATGTTCCGCTTTTTCGTGCCTCATAATTAACGTCACTATATTGCGAAACGCTATGTGATTAGTGACCCACATCCCTGGCTTTTAACGCACATGCGAAATGACAAGAAGGCATGGGTGTCCTTTTGTTATAGGCTAAGAAGATCGGTAATCGACCATGAAATGAGTTTTACCTTGGGTAAGATATAAACCTGTTAGTGTCCTCCAATCGATCAGTTAGTTTCAGTCTCATAACGTCAAGAAGTCAACTTGCTGAATAATCTTTAGACTGCACATCATGTTTCCACCTGCTCTGTTTGGGATTTATTCCATAGCTCTTGTTTATTCAGGTAGGTGTGTAAGGTTCGTAAATATACACACGTCTTCTGATTAACTCAGTAGTTGCACTATATAACTGACGGCACTTTCAACTACTTTTCGCCTTGATGAAAATACTTTGCCAGTTTAACAGATGTGACGATGGTCAATAGATACAAAATTTTGTTTCATAACTGTAACTGACGTATTGGAATTGACAACATGTACACGCTGAAAAGGAGGACAGCAATGTTCGTTAACTCACACTGACTGTTTATAAGTAATATACTTATGTTTTACAGAGCCTTCATTCCCATTTTTTAGGGTAACTCTTCGTGAACCTTTTCTTACACTTGAAAGTTTAGTTTACTTAATGGTTGTTTTTTTTTTTGGTCGACAAAAGTCATAGTAATTTACTTCTGTGCCTTGAAAAAAGTGTAGCAAATAAAAGTAGCCTGTCTGTCTCGTTTTATGATTTGGCTATTAATAGAGAAAAAAAAATATGAACGTGTACTTTAAACAGATCAAGGAAATGGTATAGCGTAGGTTTAAAACGGGTGTTCGTTGTATAGCCATGATCGCACGGCGCAACCTTTAGCGTGTGGACTACGACCAAAATGACGAATCTGCGCAGATAATCCGTTTGCCACAAGGCCAATAAAATAAACCATTAACTGAGTTCGAAAACGGGAAAACATTTATACCAGTTACTTGGACGGTTAAAGCTGAAGAATTTCCGTTACATTCTCCAAACGTTATGTTACATTCTGGTAACAGGCAGAACACCGTACAAAGCATTTATTACGGTGAAAGATGCAATAATCACTGAGGACTTAGACTGCTTGCAGTCCGCCTTTTCTCTTAAAATGCGTCTAGTTCTTATCTCATCCAGCGCTTGAATACGACTGTAGCGTAAAAATGCATCCCAAAGCAAGTCAACTGGCATCTAAATAAACCATACCTTACGAAGGGTATCCTTCAGTTAGTCAGTAAAAAGGAAAAAAAAGGTATCTCTCACGTTCATTCTTATTCAAGACTTACAGCAAATCGTTTTTGTGATGTTTCTGATCAGAAGTAGATGAATCGATCATGTTTAATGCTATTCCAGAACAAACTTTAGCGGTCACAAAATACTGAATAAAATAATATTTAATTCGGCTAAAAAGGGTAGGCAGTATAGTAGTGCTCCCCGATGAAATTTGTTCGATTCTCTTCTTATCTATAACAGAACATTTTTGTGTATGGATAATAAAGGCACTCACTTAATGACTCTAGCACAGATTTCACCTAAAACAGTAATATCCAGTTCGCCAGTTGGTTTCTACTAAACCAATCACACAATTTACTCTCTTTTTGTAAGAGTCAAATAGTCCGCACATCGAGGAAAATTGATTCTCCCGATAAAAACGTCAACCTCCTAGTTTGTCGTGGTCTATTTGTTACGCCTTGGGAAGAGGAAAAAATGTCGATGCGTTCATATCAAGGTGTCAGTTTGGCGCAGCCGCGGTTTAGAATTTATAAGAATTATATAAGAAGACCAAACGACAAGAAACAAACAACAACAACAGAAATAACACCCTTCATCGATAAAAGGGTAACCGAATAAAGTAAAAGCGCCTTCATGCCAGGGAACCAGCAAGATAAATAATTTGTTTTCCACCATGATATTGATTCACCGACACCTTATCAAAAGGCTTCTGATCTGTTAATTCTCCGTTATTTAATGAGATAGTTTCTTCCTGTATGTTAATGGCTACGTGTTAGATGCTCCCTTTTTCTTTCTTTCCGAGTGCGATGCACGTGAAAAGTTTTTGTCTTGCTAATTGAAACTATCATTGATTGTTTTTCAAATTATTGTATATGTCGTTGTCCCTCTGTTTTTGTTTTGTTTTTAATGTCAAAGTTCACCACTGTGATTATAAGGGAGAGTGCGCTCTCTTATTTAATATTAGCCTTAGCCTTTTTGAAGAGCCTATTGGGTAGGAGGGTAAAGAGCGGGGCTGTGATCGTCGGAATGTTTAGGGTTTGCAAGAAGGTTAATCGAATGTGAAAGCACCAAATGGTACATACAACATGCCAGCCTTTTGTTGCAACTTTAGCTCGATATCAGAGATGGACATGTTCCGCTTTTTCGTGCCTCATAATTAACGTCACTATATTGCGAAACGCTATGTGATTAGTGACCCACATCCCTGGCTTTTAAGGCACATGTGACATGACAAGAAGACAGGGGTGTCCTTTTGTTATAGGCTAAATCGGTAATCGACCATGAAATGAGTTTTACCTTGGGTAAGATATAAACCTGTTAGTGTCCTCCAATCGATCAGTTAATTTCAGTCTCTCTGTAAGGTTCATAAATATACACAGGTCTTCTGATTAACTCAGCAGTTGCACTATATAACTGACAACACTTTCAACTACTTTTCGCCTTGATGAAAATACTTTGCCAGTTTAACAGATGTGACGCTGGTCAATAAATTTTGTTTCATAACTATAACTGCCGTATTGGAATGAACAACATGTACACGCTGAAAAGGAGGACAGCAATGTTCGTTACTCACACTGAGTGTTTATAAATAATATACTTAAATTTTACAGAGCCTTCATTCCCATTTTTTAGAGTAACTCTTTGTGAACCTTTTCTCACACTTGAAAGTTTAGTTTACTTAATAGTTATTTTTTTTTGGTCGACAAAAGTCATAGTAATTTATTTCTGTGCCTTGAAAAAAGTGTAGCAAATAAAACTAGCCTGTCTGTCTCGTTTTATGATTTGGCTATTAATAGAGAAAAAAAAATTATGAACGTGTACTTTAAACAGATCAAGGAAATGGTATAGCGTAGGTTTAAAACGGGTGTTCGTTGTATTGCCATGATCGCACGGCGCAACCTTTAGCGTGTGGACTACGACCAAAATGACGAATCTGTGCAGATAATCCGTTTGCCACAAGGCCAATAAAATAAACCATTAACTGAGATCGAAAACGGGAAAACATTTATACCAGTTACTTGGACGGTTAAAGCTGAAGAATTTCCGTTACATTCTCCAAACGTTATGTTACATTCTGGTAACAGGCAGAACACCGTATAAAGCATTTATTACGGTGAAAGATGCAATAATCACTGAGGACTTAGACTGCTTGCAGTCCGCCTTTTCTCTTAAAATGCCAGTTCTTATCTCATCCAGCGCTTGAATACGACTGTAGCGTAAAAATGTACCCAAAGCAAGTCAACTGGCATCTAAATAAACCATGCCTTACGAAGGGTATCCTTCAGTTAGTCAGTAAAAAGCAAAAAAGGTATCTCTCATGTTCATTCTTATTCAAGACTTACAGCAAATCGTTTTTGTGATGTTTCTGATCAGAAGTAGATGAATCGATCATGTTTAATGCTATTCCAGAACAAACTTTAGCGGTCACCAAATACTGAATAAAATAATATTTAATTCGGCTAAAAAGGGTAGGCAGTATAGTAGTGCTCCCCGATGAAATTTGTTCGATTCTCTTCTTATCTATAACAGAACATTTTTGTGTATGGATAATAAAGGCATACACTTAATGACTTCAGCACAGATTTCACCTAAAACAGTAATATCCAGTTCGCCAGTTGGTTTCTACTAAACCAATCGCGGTTTAGAATTTATAAGAATTATATAAGAAGACCAAACGACAAGAAACAAACAACAACAACAGAAATAACACCCTTCATCGGTAAAAGGGTAACCGAATAAATTAAAAGCGCCTTCATGCCAGGGTACCAGCAGGATAAATATGAAATTAAACATTGACGGCCGATAGGGGCGCACCATGCAATTAGTCGACATCAATATACTCTTTCATACTCATTTTTAGTTTTAAATAGATCTACAATTGTAGTCATAAATAGTCTTAATCTCTAACTCAGTGCAGATTAGCTTTGGCTATTTCAAGTTTCCAATTTTACACTTGACCTTGAATAGAAAGAGTACAAAGAATTTTATCGACGGGTGTGGTTGTGCACAATATCGTGTCAGTAGCGGGCAGATCAATCAGTTGCTGATGCCGAAGGCAGAGGTAAATGAGGTATTGACAAAATACGATATTCACAAGTTCAGTTCAAAGTGTTTGATTTGCAACCAGTTTAGTCTGGAGTGTACAGCTCGCCAGTAAACGTTTCATGATTAATACGACCCTCTTTTTTCACTTTTTCTCTTCTAAATATGGTATTCATAAATTCAAAACATGTTTAGCTATTATTTTTGTGTTTATCATTGTACTTTTTTGCTTAAGTAGACAATTTAGATTACTATCTGTTAAATTAATAAACATCGAGAACCACTTTTTTACCCGAAGACAGAAAGCACACTTTGTAGGGAGCATTTTTCGCTCGGCAAACCTTTTTTATCCACACTGTGCATGGACAATCCCTTGTCCTTCTGCAGGCCTGTAAGTGGCGTATTTGACCTAGAGACCAATCAAATCGTATGGAAAAAAAAAATTGAATAATAACCGTAATTATAACTGACGTTACTGATTTTTCATGATGATGATTTAATGAGTTTTTATGCCTGTTTCTCTTCTTTTCTCTACAGGATGTTTCGTGTGGTGTTCATCGGCCTCTAGTCATCAACTGCGTGCCGTTTTTAGCATGGGTGGAATAAAAGGCGACATCAAATTTTCTCAGCGGCAAAATAGGAGCTCTACGAGCATCATGGTTGACATAACAGGCGTCAACGAAACTCTGACGTGGGACATTCGACAGCTGCCAATGATCTACGATGGAAATGCGGATATGAGTTGCAACTCAAGCGCAGTTGGGGCAATTTTCGACCCGACGATGGCCATGAAATCTGAAAACTACAGCAATTCTTGCCGTCTGTCAAATGCTTCAAGATTCCACGACTGTGCTGTTGGTGATTTAACGGGAATGCTGGGAGCTCTGGATGCCAACAGTGCACAGCAAAACTTCACATTCCAGAACTTGACAATTCCAATCAGTGGGCCTAACAGCATCATGGGTAGGACCTTAGTTCTTTACAAGGGTGGCATACCAAAAGCCTGTGCATTAATTACACCAGTTCATCCCATGATAACCGCAGTGGCTGTTTTCTCGATGCCCGTTGCAGGTTTTGTTTATCTGAGAAAAGTCAAAGATCACGCAGACACAACTATATTTGTTAACCTGTTCTATTCTAACGACGCTCAATCCCAAAGTCAGTTTTCTTGGCAGATAAACCAAGTATCTTCCAGCTGTGGTACGTCGGGAGACCTTTTCAGCCCTGAAAACAATAACGGACAAAGCTGTTCGCATCTTGAGCACGACAAATGCCGGGTTGGCGACTTGACTTCAAAGCACGGCAACATCACTGTCTCCATGGCCACAAATAGTCAATCCGCAACAAAAGCGGCCTTCATTGATACGAACCTTCCACTTACAGGAGCCAACAGCGTCGTTGGTAAGACAATTGCCTTATTCTCAAGTAACGATTCGCAGACGCCTTTTGCCTGCGCAACGATAAAGCAAGTTAAACCAAGAGTTTTCAAAACTTCTTTCAAATCGAACGTTCATGACGGTGTAGAAGGCTATTTCAAGTTTACCCAGCTATCTCCTTTTGACCCCACAACGACGGAAATACAGTTGACCGGACTAAACAAAAAGGCTGAAGGATATCACGTACACAACTATCCCATGCCATGGCAGATGACGTACACTGGAAGTCAATCGTGTGCAGGTGACTTCCTTGGGGGACACTGGAACCCTTTTGGCGTGGATGTCAAAGCCAGCCCTTCTGCCGGAACTGGTATGATGTCTCATAGTATAGACCCACCTTCGTTACTAAGCAGCTCATATCAAGCACCACTTCTTTTCATAGGGCATTAGTTTCATTTTTGTTTTTCTGAAAACACTCTGCAGAGAGTATCAGTGCGGCTTGTAGGTGGCTGAAATGATCTAATCCAACGAAACGATACATTGGCACTTCAGTATCCCCGCTTTTAAGACTGATGAATGTTATCTTATAAAAGTATTTTTATACTTCATTTTCTTAACACAAAGCAAAGGTCACCTTAGGCTGTGCCTTTCTGTTTCAATTAAACTTTATTTCTCCCGATTTCATTTCTTTATTAAGCCACGTACTCTATATCTATACAGGGACAAATGATCAGTATGAAGTTGGCGACCTCAGCGGAAAATATGGATCATTTTTAAATCTAACAAGCTACAGCGAGACACACGTGGACTACAACCTTCCCTTGTTTGGTAAAAACAGCATCCAGGGAAGATCTATAGTCATCCACAGACAGAAAACAATGGGAAGTGGGAGATGGGTATGTGCAGTCATTGGTGTGACTCATGAAGAGGGCTTGTTTGTCATGACGACCAAAGTAACTTTTGTTGGACCAGCTTTACAAGGATACATTCTCCTGGTGAGTCACTTTTGTTTTAATGTATTTACCTGAAGGTGGGGATAGTGAATCGGATAGCCAAATAACCAGTACTATAGCAAAAAGTTGCATTTTGTTGCGCTGTACATAATACTATGGGCATTGATTTCTATATGCACCAGAAAAGTACTTGCAATGCTAAAGCTCTACTTTATCACAATAGAGACCTTCCAAACATTCAATAGACCTTTCCCGCATTCCTGTAATCAAAGGCACCAACTCGAGGCTTGAGAGGACAAAATACAGTGATTTGTAAGAAATAGTCCACCCGAGCCTCTTCCTCATTTCTTTGTGTTTGCTCACTGAAGCGTAACGTGGGAAAGGTCTATTATCCTTCCTAATCTTCAAAACAATGCTCTCATTGATAAAGCTTGTACAAAGAAAAGCTTTGTCTGCCACCAAACTAAGTTGTATTTTTCATGTGAATATCTGCCTACTACGTACCTTAATGACTTTGAATCGAAACATCCGTTGGCAATAAAGCAGAAAGTAATTGTGTTGATTCACCGCTGACAATTCTATCAAATTTCTCTTTTTTTAGGCTCAGTACAAGTGGCAAAACAGCCTAATGGCGTCTGAGGAGACATCAGTTTACGCTGATCTAAAATATGTAAATGATTCAAGTAAACAGGTAATAAAAATATATAAAACTATGATAACTCTAGCTGTTTCTTGCAAAGCTATAATACTGCCTCTCGCAACTATTCTTGCTAGGATTAAGACGGTTTGATTAACCTCAGTCTGGGATAAGAAAAGATAGAACTAAGTGCAGAATTCATGGATCAGTCACTTTTAGAAAGCCAATTCCTCAGCTGAGCAAACGCCTTGGCCCGGTCGTTTAAACGCTGGAGAGCGCTATCCATAAGTTAAGTATTATAGGTAAACCAGTCGTTTTATCCACCAGGCCCCAGTTTTTCAAAAGGTGAATAACGCTATCCACCGGATAAATCACTATCCACTGGATTGCGCAATTGGTTTCCGTAACACTTATCCGTTGGATAGTGATTTATCCGGTGGATAGCGCTATCCAACTTTTCAACAACCGGGGGAAGGTAAAGATTTATCTGGTGGAGCGCTATCCACTTTTGGCAAGAACATTTGATTTAAATCAAGTTTTCATCTATGTTAGTAGTTGAGACGGTCAAATGTCCCACGATATGGACTTGCAGACTTGGTGTGGTACTAAATGATTTGTGTTTTTCACCAGAGTTTACAGCATCCGTGGCACGTGCACGTAAATCCAGAGGGTGGCGACACATACGCTGAGATGGGCAAGAGATGCAAGAGCCTCGGAGGACACTATAACCCTTATGGTGTAGACTTAGCTGTAAGTATCGTCATTCAGCAAGGCTGCGCGCGGGCGTTCACACGGCACTGGACGAATTTTCAACTGGCTGAAAAATTTGAGGGGACACCTCGTCACACAGAACTGTTCGTTCCGTTTGAATCTTAACAGAGCGCTTCTTTAGCAAATCTAAAATGGCGTCTCCCAGAGTCACACCTTCGCCGTACAAAAATTGAGATGGTTATGTTGTTCATACCGTGCCGACGTCAAATTTTCGACCAAGTCGGCTACAGATTTGACCTCGATTTTGGCATTCAAATTTTTGAACAGGTGGGCGTTTTAATCTTCGTACGGTTAAGGTGGTACGGTGTGACCGGAACACCTAAACGCACGAACATAGGAATCCAAGACAGTCTTGGATTGGTTTCCAGATTCCCTTACATGGGGCGAAAACTGCCGAAAATTCGTCCAGCGCGGTGTGACCGTTGCGCAAGACTGAGCACTTTAAAAAACTCAGCTTTGATTTAACGATTCACGTAGGAATCTGATCGCGTCTTACAGCTGTTCATGACACAGTCAAACCAATGACCTGACATGCCCATTATTTTGCCCCACTATTTTCTGCTTGATACAGATAGGATAGTGACATTTTCAGTTTTTAGAGTGCTGATATGGCTGATATGGACAGAAATATGCTAGCCCTAGCACTGTAACATATAAAGATTACTGACTCTGAAATAGATCAGACTGGTAATATGGAAAGAAGTTGAAAATAGAGGTAGACTAAATTCCCATTGATCCAGAACAACTTTAATACAAATGATCTTTGTCCAGTGGTGATGTACTGTAAGACTCAACTCAAGTAAGAGTCAACTCTTCCTCAGCGGTGATTCATAAACTGTTACTAACAGGTCTATTCTACATGAATGGGTTTATAGGGAACGTACAAGCCAGCTTGTTCCTCTGGAAACATGTTGCGTTGTGAAGTTGGCGATCTATCTGGCAAGCATGAAAGGCTGAATATTGGTTCTGGAAAGCAGTTTTATACGGATCCAAGTCTTCCATTGTTTGGTGAATGGTCAGGTAAAGATCCAGATAACTTTGCTTTTAAAATTGCCAAAACTGCAGTTTCGACAAAAGAAAAAGTCTAAGGAACGAATTTGATGTTTCTTTTCTAGTTGTTGGCCGCGGAATTGTAGTTCATGAAAAGAACAGTGGATCTGCTCGTCTTGCCTGTGCCACCATCAAACCAGTGAATACTTTGTATGTGGAGAAAACGCTGAATTATGTGGAAGGAACGACATTTTCAAGGTAACTTTTACTCAACTCGTATTACCAATGCCAAGATTAAAGAGAGGCATTCCGTGCTAATAAGTGAAAAATTCAGAGCGATTGGCTAAAATATATGTACGATCTATTCAAAGTTAACCTATGTTTCGCAATTCACGAATTAATGTTCTCGAATCTGAAGGATTGCTGTTTCATTGTAATGAAGAACGAATTTGGAATGCAGCGATACCCTAGATCAACACCCGCGAAACATTCAGAAAGCCGACGAACTTTATCATGTTGTTTGGTTTTGTTTTAGGGTTACTTTTACAAAATCTATATCGGCGTTGCTGAAAATACCAGATTGGAGACTGTTTTACATCAGAGAAGAGGAAAGCAGGGTTCAAGGCTGTATGACCGTCAAATTTGGAATCATGGGCAATGGTTAGTAAGTCCCTAAACGAATATAGAGCAATCAAAGGATTAAGTACTGACATATTTTTTCGCAAGGGCGAGATTTTAAACACTTTTTAGGGAGATATTTCTCAACTAACCTAGCATTAAAGCTTCAGTATTTTCTCCTAAAACTCTTTAAGTAGGCATCCTTTTAAAAAACTTTGCGAAGTCATTGTACTGGATGATTAAGGTTTACTAATATGTTTTCGTCTTTCTTTTACTTCAGCAAATCAAGTCGATGAGCCATCTAAAGCTTTTGATCTGGTTGTAAGCACAAGGCCAGGACTGTTAAAGGAGTTCCAACCAAAAACCAAGTGTCTCGGAGGTAAGAGACAAAAAAAAAATCACGAAAGAATGATTAAGACCTGAGTTATTTTCCTGTGAGATAAACACTGAAACTCTTCACAGTGCCCCGTTCTATGTCGAAAAGTCCTATTATTTTGGGAAAATGCAGGTCAGCAGGAAGGATGCCCATGTTCTTTCGGCTCACAGCATCGATATTAGAGAGTGAGATTGAGTATTGTGAAATTTCCCAAAAGTCTTGGTAAATCTTGTGCTGCCGTGATTTCACTTCCAAAATTAGGTATCGGTCTACCACAACCCTCGATATGATTAGGGATAGACCTTACTTTTAACACAACAGCTGACCGATTTCATACATTTCCCCCTTTTTCTTTCACAGAACCACCAATACCTACTAAGCCCAGCGGAACAGGAATTAATCGTGTCAACATCTTCTTCGTCCTTTTAAGCGTGGTCTTAGTCATGATGCAAGCTTCTTTAGAATAACTCCGAAGGAGCAATGACCATTTGAGAAGTAGAAGTTTGTTCTGGTCATTAGGCTGCATTCAAGACTCACGGAACGCAGTCGTAATGGTAGTGGCTTTACGAGGGAGTCCTTTCTGTAAAGCAGGAGAAAGACATTTTTCCTTCATGAAAAAATATATATATATTTCTCACTGCTAAAGCAGATATTGAAGGAACTTTTGATCATAATTTTAATTCTGTTTTCTCCGAAAACTATATGTCGTTGAAAGCAGGTTAGTAATTAACTTGCCGTCGTCAACTAAGGCGCGTCAACTGGTAATAAGAAATAATATAATATTATAGTATTTAAGGGAGTGACAGCAATGAAACTATTGTGTTTAAGTTAGCCTGCGCATGCGCAGGCAATAACTTGTAAACATTTAATAAAGGTCAATAAATAGTTAAAAATTACGATTGTAAATAATGATTGTTCCCGAAAAGCCCCTTTGGGGAGAAGGCAATAAAGTATATATTTATGCACTTGGCGTTCACTGAAGTTTCGCTAAATTTTAGGCAGGTAATTTAACGCGTGTTAGTTCTCGGTGATGATTCTGCCCCAGTGATTATCACTCTTTCAGTGGGGAGGTCATTGTGCCATATTCAGATGCGTCGGAATAAGTGTCTCAGTATACCGCTGACAGAACGTTTCAATGCGATAAAACGGAGTCCAGTACTTTCAACCGGACAAAGCATTACTGCAGTTAGGTTCCAACGATTTAACGGTTGCATTTTACCATCAAGTATTTGGTTTAAACATGATAGCTACAGTTTGTGTGATTGGTATTCACGAAATCGCATGGTTCTTAATGCTAATAAAACCAAATCAATGCTGGTAACTGGAAAATGACTAAAATCGCAAATAAATGGGTCTGGTCTGGATCTGCAGGCCGGTGGTGCAGCCATTGAACAAGTCATGCACCAGAAGTTGCTTGGGGTTACAATTGACGAAGAACTTCCCTTTAAAGAACATGTCGATCAACTTTGTAAGAAAATAAGCCCCAAAATTGGCCTTACTTACCTACCGATTGGAGAAAGAGAATTGTTCTAAAATGCCCTAATTAAACCGACAATAATTTATGGGAGCATGGTGTGGACTTCTTGCTCTAACAATGATCTCAAGAGAACTTTACGATTACAGAAAATGTCTGCGCGACGCGAATAATTCTTGGTGTAGATTCAAGATCGAGAACAGCAGAAAATTTTAAGAAGCTTAAGTGGTTACCGTTCTGCGATGACGTTAAGGTAAATAAATGTGTTCTGCTTTATAAGGCATTGCAAGGCGAATCACCCATGTATATCAATGATCTCTTAATTAGGAACGAATCAGTGCACGGTAGAGAGACCAGACATGACCAATTTAACTTCGTATGCCCAAAGTTTCGACACATCACCGAAGCGGGAAGGTCTTTTAGCGTCAGTAGCATAAAGTTGTGGAACAGTCTGCCTGATGACTATATTGATATTGATAATTTTGAAGCCTTACCGGCTGTAAATATATCTTTGTATTGTTAGGTTAGTGAATTTAGTTGATGCAAGGTGTATACGGCAGTATATTTTAGTGTATATAAGGTGTATATAAAGATAGTGTTTTAATATAAGGTGTATATAGGTAAGTATAAGGTGTTCAGACGCTGCAGATGGGTGTATAATCGTAGTAAATGACATTTTCTTTGAATAACATTCTTATCATTATAAATAATTACATTCTACACATTTCCTCTAAGATTTGTCGCTAGCTGGTTATTATTAAGTATGCAACGATGAAGAGGGCAAGGATTGCAACAGACATGAGCATGGATTTTCGGTTTTCTTTTCGTAACCTTCCAAGGTCTCTCTCTGTAATAAAATAACAAAAATAATAATAATAATAATAGTAATAGTAATAGTAATAATAATAATAATAATAATAATAATAATAATAATAATAATAACAATAGTAATAATAATAAGTTCTAAATGTATTTTGGTAATCTGAAAACGCAGAATATACATTTGTTGAATATTTCTTTTTGCACCTTAATCTAATGATCACCCACGACGCCATTGAAACCTATGATCGGTAGAGAATACTTCATGGAAAGTGCTGGCGTACGGTATTTACGCACGAGTTGTTGACGTATCAGAAATCGAACGAGTGAGCGCAGCGAACGAGTAAGATTTCTGATACAAAAATAACGAGTGCGTAAATACCGTACAAAGCACTTTCCATGTGGTATTGTGTTTATTATATAGTTTTTTATTACATACTGAGACATTCATCATTTTGGCGGCCTTTTTATTTTAAATCTTTCAAAAATGCTAAAATTTGCCGCTACAAGAAAAGGCACAACAAAAGCTTACGTCTCGTTCTGTTTACCCCTTTCCGCTGTTGTTTCGCCGGCTCTCTACCGTTTTCTTTATCGACAGTGAAACAAACGAAACTATTGCACTCCATTTCCGAAATGTTTTTCACTTTTTTGGCGAGAAAAACTCATTGAGTAAAACTTTTCACGTTGAATGTGTGCGAAGCGGCGCTGCAAACTGCAATAAAAGGGGGGAATTTTGGCGCGAAACTCGCACACCTCTGTGGACGTATCATTTTTGTCACACGTGAAAAAACATCGTTCGCGATTCTGATTGGACGTATCATTTTTTTTCACATGTGAAAACCATCGTTCGCTCCTCTGATTGGCTAGAACTAATTTGCGTACGAAAATTTACGACATAGCTTTTTGGTGAGTATTTCTCAGTATATATATAATAAGCATTATTACTCATTCAAAATACTTCTCCGTTCTAGATTCGTTGAAATTTAGTAGCTGAAATTTGTAGTTATTTCATAAACATTCTAGAAATGCAGATATTAAAAAACTGTATGAAATGTCTGCAAAAATGATTTTACAGACATTTTGTGTTCCGTGTGTTTTTGCACTCTTGTATAAAGTCTGTAAATTCATGATTATAGAGATTTCACTATCTCTGTAAATGGTTCAGATTTTCCAGAGAATTCCGTGGCTAATTTTTGATTACCATTTCCAAATCTGGAACTGATAAATAGAACTTTGACAAAACACGCCTAAAATGTTTTCCCCGTATGTAATTTGGCATCATTGATAACACATGCTTATGCAAAGCGAACTACGCGAACTTCTTCCTCTAAATCATGGCAAAAATGTATAAATATACCACTCAATCGGTGACAACTGCTATTATGAAGATTCTTCTTTTTTAACAGAAGCGTAGGCCAATTACTAGACTACAAGATGCACCTTGTATGTTGATAATGACCTGTTAAATTAAACTAATGCTTACCATTTTCCTTGATTTGCTCTTGTAACTGCTTCATTTTATGCTCCAAGTCTAACCTAATAGTGTAACAATTTTCAATCTTATGAATGCCCTTACATTGAGAGGAAACAATTAACAATAACAATTGCAATACAATTTTACAGCTGAATTCTGAATGAGTTTCTATTTATGGATTTCTGCTCCAAATATTTGTCCAAAATTCATTTGGCATACTTATTATATCAGTAAAACTTTATATCAGACATTTCAGTAAAAAAATATCAGAAATTTTTTTTTTTACTATACACGCAACCACAGGTAAAATCAGATTATTTCATACTATTTCCACAATCAATTCCCAATATAAACTCAATAAACGATCACCTTATGGGATGATGGCATTATAATTTGTCACTGTTTTTGTTGTTGTTTTGTTTTTTGGTAATTAGGGGTAAAAACAGGGAACCTACCAAAGTTTATTCAGTTTTTAGTTAAATTAATCCATTATCACTGCATACAAGTCATTAAAAGAGAACTTAAATTTGAAAATAACTCACAATGCATTCAACGAAATAATTTGAGGAAACAGTTACAAAAAGCAACATATAAATTATTATTAAGAAAACCACTATGATGATCGACTATGATGTTCCTTTAAACAGTTCGGTTCTTACCGAGTTTAATCTCAGCTTACTACTAGCCTATGCCATGCTCTTGATCAGTGCGAACAAGCGTAAAAAGCGAACAAGCAGGGTTGGAAAAAAATGAGGGGACGACAGGAATAGAGAAGGGGAGAGCCTGTTAGCATTTTGTCAAATACCTCAATCCACCCTAACCTACCCACATCCTGAAAGACCGTTTCTTGAGTCAAAATGTCAAAACATCGAAAGGTGCGGTGTAGGAGGGTTTTTACCAATATCAGCAATAAAGCACACGTACCAACTATGTGGTACAGCCATTACTTTACACATTCACACAACCATATCACCCTAGCAGTGGCAGTCATGGACAGCTGTTTTGCCCTTATGGGGGCTCATCAGCATGGCATAGCCATCAGGTCTGTGAGCAGGCAAACTCACCTATCAAAGACCCTTTAGAATGCCAAGGTGAGTGCAAAGCACTCCTTTAAGCACTAGCTCCACCACAGACAAGTGGTAGCTGTTGGTTGGGAACTGCAAAACAGTTGTCCCATGGCTTGCGTATGGAGATGGGATCAGAAAAATTGACCTGTGTGCCCAAAAAATTTACATCCTCAACAAGTTTTGTTAGACTCTGTCCAAGCAAAGTAAAGGACCATTTACTTTTTATATGTAGGGGGGGCTGGTGGGATTTGAGGTGGGGAGGAGGCATGAAAAAATATGCTTTTAAAGGCCGGGTCAGTGACGGCTTTTGTGAAAATGCAAACAGCCTACCAGAATGCCAAAAACATTCAGAAAGTTCGGACTTTTCTGTGGAAGCATGCCCCCAGACACCTTCTTTGTTAAGCCTAGTTCTCATATGCCGCCAAAGTACCTACAACATAGCCACTGGTACTGCCTGCGATACCAATCCAACATATGAGGACATAACGGCGCCAGCAACAAGAAACATCGCAGGTCTTTTAAACCGTCGGCAAGCCAGCAAAGTCGAACTCGAGTCAACTTTGCAGGCATAATGGCGGTAAAGACTGACATGGCCTCTGTTGCCGGGGACTTCTGTTCTCATATCAGAACGGTGTCACAGGCAGTACAGGCATCTATGTCACAGGTAGCTCGGCAGCATATGAGAACCAGGCTTTATGCACCAAAAGGAAATTCTATCCCACTACAATGCAAACAAAGCTTAGAAGCATTCCAAATTGAATGTTTCATTAGGAAAGAGTAACAAAACTCAGTTAGACATATGTCATTTTTTTCTTTGTCCTCTCTCTCTTTCTTTCTTTACCTTTTGTTTCCTTTCCTTTCCTTTCCTTTGGAGGGGGGGGGGGTCATCTCAATTAATTTGGGAGGTACTTAAAAGGAAATTTTTTCCACTAAAAATGAAAAAAAACATAAAAAAATTTATAATTTGAATTGTTATCTGGGAAAAGTAAAAAAAACTCTTTTATCCTTTTTTCTTTTTTTTTTTTCCCCCCCTCTCTTTTTTTTCTTTCCCTTTTTTTTCCTTTCTTTTCTTTTCTTTTGAGGGGGGGGGGGGTCATCTCAATTAATTTGGGAGGTACTTGCCAAATCCCCCCCCCCTCTCCCCCATTAAAAATGAACATGTCCCTGAAATGTCACAATTGACCAATCATAAGATATACCTGGAACTGGTAAACTGGAATGAGGTATTGAAAACAATGCTTACAGGCCCCACTAATCTGTCTCTCCCCAGCCCCCATGTGGTTTTCTTGCAACTTTTCTTGATCCACTTTCCTTACTATCTCTGAGCCTGGAACAGGCTAGTTTATTACTTGAAAAGGACATAAGTCTCACTGCAATGTAACAGAACTAAAAATAGGAGTCAAAAGAGCAATTATAAGGTTCACACTGAAGTTTGTAAAATGGTCCACTTATGGAACACATGTATCAACGACTGCAGAACACAAAGTTCTTGTTCACTTTAACATGAAGAACCAACTTCAAGTAATTTTTATCTTATCAGAATGCAGATCATGAAGTCGTCGAACTACCTTTCATTCTCTGACAATCTTCTTAGACGTAGACTTCGGTCTATCATGTCCATTTCATCTTCAGATGCTTTTATGTTATTTTCAAGATCCTCAATCTAACAAATTTGAGAGAACAGGAAGAAGGTCACAGGGCTCAAAATAATTTTCGGTCAGCAGCCGGTCACAAATGATTGGCTACAAATGATTGGCGAAAACAAAGATTGCAAATCCTCAAAAACATTTGTCAAAAAAGGATTGATCAAACGCACGCGCGGAGAGGTGTCCACCGTCCACCGTAAAAAGGATGTTCCAGTTGAATACTTATATAATTACATAAATGTTAGAATAAAAAATATTCGTTTTCTTCAAACATTTGCTGTGATTTTAAGCCAATGTGATGTTGTTTTTACTCACCTGGCTAACGATTGTTGGCATTTTCATCGGCGTGGGGGCACTTTTGAAAAGAAACAACAAGGCGCTAACGATATCAAAGATTAGGCACTGGTAACTAAAGGCAGCTTCCGCTGACCGCGGAAAATCTTGGAAAATCTTCTGGAAAATCCTGGAAAATCTCAAATGGGATCGATGAATTGATGATAGATCTTCTGATAGTTTGATGTTCTTCAATGCAAGTATCTTTTGACAGAATGACGGGGAAGTTAAGTTTTTGGACGTGTATGGTATTCGTTTTCTATTTCCTGATGTTCTTCCTTCGCACTGACTCTTATCCTTCGGAATGCACTCTTCCTTTTCCTCGAAGTTACGTGGTGTATCATTTGAGTGACCGTGAAGTTATTGACGTGGATGGAAAACTAGATGACAGTGCATGGGATTCTGTCTCGTGGACGGAGGACTTCATAGGTAAGTTCTTGATCTTTTAGACAAATGTTTAGAACTAGCATGTTGGTTTAGAGGTATGTGAGGCAACTTTTCACCAAGGTCCCCTCCAAACCACGTGAAAGAGACCCCCACCGCCCTCCCGACCCCGTCTGATACAAATCCGGTCCAAAGATATCACGCAAAATTCTATCTTTTCGTAATCTTCATATAGACAAAAAATTACAACACTGCCATGCATTGTTTTGTCATGCCAAAGTAATTGCTACAAAATTTCAAGAGAAATTGGATCAGAAAGAAAAAAAACTGGTATTATGGGGTCTCAACATTTTTTATTGAATGATTTGTAGAAGCGAATTGCATCTGCATTGAAAAAATAATGCCGATGATCAAGATGAACTGTTAATATGGTTAAATCCTATCCCAGTTACTGAGAATAATTAATATTGGCTGCAGAAAATGTGATCTCAGTAACAAGAGTTGGGCCCAACTTCTCATACAAACACAAAATAATTTTCACTGATACAACTTAAGAGACAGCTGACTTGAGATGAGATCTCAGTAAATCGTATGGACTGTATGAAGGGGACTGTGACCTAAGTGGGGATGGGTAGAGGTGGGGGACAAAGGGTGGATGGGGATTTACCATGTCATAATAAAGGTCTACAATGGCTTAAAGAGATGAGTGATGAGTGTTGGAGGAGACTAAGGGTTATGAAAACTATGAGTTATCGTTTTGTTGTTAATTAATTAACAATTGATGAATGAGGCTGAGTATCTTATGAAAAATTATGGAGATCGAGGAGGGTGTTATCCGTCAAGGCCGTCGGCCAAGTTGGATAACACCCTCCAAGATCTCCATAATTCTTCATATGATACAAAAGCCGAATTCAACAATTGTTTTATTATTCATTCAAAATAATTCCTAGTTTAAAAACAAAGCTAAAACATGCTTACCTCCATCGTCGTTAAGTTTACCTTCGATAGTGCACGTTCAGGGTCGTTCAGTTCCGTGCGCAAATATTCTCCAAATGGCACTTCGAGATGTGTTCTTCCTGTTCGTGCCATGTTTTTAGCTATAATTGAAAAGGGTGAAATCTCCACCATTTTTTGTTTTCACAACCAAAACAACTCAACCTCGTCCCCAGGTCTTCTCGGTTAAGGGTGCATTAACCCACAAGAACACTGCAGTTTTGACGTCATTTCCTCATTAAACACAAAATTCTTCCAAATTTGGTCATCATTAACTGGTTATGGTGAATTATGCGTTTGCTTTTAGCCAATTAAAATCGGGGAAATATTTTGAATGAATAATAAGAGTCGTTTATGTATTAAATTTCTTTATAATGTGAAAGATAGCCTCCCCGCAGACGTCCTTTGGGGTTCGTTTGTCACGCATTCATTTCTCCCCCACGGACGTCTGCTAAACACAGCCGACTTTTACGTTCTGGATTGTTTGAATAAGCCAATAAGCGGTTAGTTATTGTGTCACGATCAGCCAATCACGCGCTGTGATATAAGTGATGTCTTTGTATTCTCAAGTGAATTATTTATTTGCACCGCTATCTTCTACCTGAGACGACTCAAACGTTTTGAAAAAATCACAGAAACGATGCAATAAAGCTGCAGTCAGCTGTATATTTTTTTCGGAAGTTGTGACTATAAAATAATCTGCTTTTCTTTGAAAGACTTCAGACAACAGTCTCCCACACGAGCGCGGAGCGGTTTTCAGCGCGGTCGAAAACAATAATTACTATTAACTCTGTATATATTCGAAGTATTAAGAAAAGAGAACTTGTAAACGTGTATACGGAAGATATTCAAAGCATTCTTCGAAAACAAAGGCCGTTTCCTTTTTTGCGAAATGTAATTCCACCAAGGTCATGGGTCGCGGACCAAGGACCAGTACGCAAAATTTGGTTATATTTTTTCAAGAGTCGGTAAAACAAAAAATTCGAAGTCTACAGCAATGTGCTTCCAACGGCAGAAAAAGGTTTATCTGAAAACTTGTTCTGCAAAAAGGCACGTCCTCCCGTTGCGTTTTATTTATTCACAAGCTTAGTAAACATGACCACGGCTGCCGCCGAAGTCCAAACTTCAAGCTAGAACGACAAATTAACCTACCTGTCAACAAACTTTAATCTCGCTCCTTCAAAGAAAGAAAGAAGGCTTATAATCAATAAATCATTGACCCTTTTATTGTTCATTGTATTTTATTTCTCGACGAAATATTTAATCATGCTCGGGAAAGTCGCCGACCAAGGACCACATACAAGTCACTCGCTAACATTTCCTCCACCGATCGATCTTCAACCAAGCTTCTGGGCTTCTGTAAACAACAGAGAAAGTCCCTCTCTTGACAACCCTCATATTCTCTTTGCTAATATCACTGAGCGTTACAGCAGGAATACCAATATTTTCCAGCTTTGTAGATTGATCTTTCAAGATTTACCAGGGAAGAAACAACAACAACAATAATGTCCAGTAGTTCCACGCACTGTGTCGCAAACAAGCAGCAAAGCTTGATAGATAAGGCATTTGCCAAATCCCGTCGGCAAATTTATGAACTCATCGGTCTTCGCTATAAAATTCGAAGGATAGCTTCCCTCTGATACTTGTTTAACTCTGTATTAATTACAAATTTCTCGCACACTCGCCGATCAAAAGCCTCACTGATCGTGCGAATCTTAAGAAGCAGCTCGGGTTACGTTTTACAAAAATCGGTAAACGGCCTGTGATTGGTGAACGTAAATGTCGGCTGTGTTTAGCAGACGTCCGTGGGGGAGAAATGAATGCATAACAAACGAACCCCAAAGGACGTCTGCGGGGAGGCTATGTGAAAGATTGATAGTTAGTCTTCCAATATACTACTTCTCATAAGACCCCAAGAGAGAGTAACCCTTCTGCTCACTTAGACACTTGCTCACTTTGTTTCTGCTACATTTCTGCACTTCACAGAATTAACTTTCTTACCACTGTTAACACGACCATACTTTTCAGCTCATGGAGATAATTTTGTTGTTTCAAGATCTGTTATTTGCCTCTCACTGTAGACATTCAGGGACCAGATTTCAAAAAGCCGCGTTTCAGAACACATGCTAAAATGCGATGGGATGATAACTTCTTGTACATTGGGGCGTATCTTCAGGAGACTGATGTCTGGGCAAATCAGACAAACCATGACTCAGTAGGTAACTATTAGCCTGCAGCTATTTTCCCTAGTCAAATATATTTTTTGTGTCTCTGTTTCATGTGTTCCGATTTATCTCACCATGTTTGTTGGAAAGGGAAAGTTTTATATGAATAGCAATATATTAGCCAATGCCTTTATATTGATCATGTATTAACAGATGAAAACATCAATCACAACACACACTTTTTTCCACTATCCAAACACCAAGAAGTGGGTTAAAAAAAGAAGGTGCAGCCATGTGTTTTAAGACTAACTTTAGGTTTTCTGGATGTCATAGATGATTGAAGCACTGAAAATGATTTTCTTCATTTTCTCTTCATGAATTATTATTTAATCAATGACTTTCTCACAAAAACCTTTGTTTTGTTTTACAAACTCTAGTGTTTCAAGATAATGACTTTGAGGTAAGTAACAAAATCTGAAATAGAAACCTTTATTTTAGATTACTTGCACAAACAGTGCATCCAGTTGGTGACAACTTGTCACGTTCTCCTGACTGTATTTTACACCCTCAGTCTCTGTGTTAATTTAGCTTCTGAAAAAATATCTTTTTGTTTAGGTGATTGATATTAGAAAGTCAAAAAAATTAAAACATGATCCAGTATTCCATCCTCATTTTTATCTACTCTTATCCTTGTTGCTTTCACCTTGTTTCAGCTTTCATCTTCAATTGCCCCAGCTTGTCTCTTTTTTTTTTCTTCCAGTTCCCATCTCCTTTCTTCTACATCTCACCTCCCCCCCATCTCCCAGCTCACAGCCTATCATCTTCACTTCCATCCTCTTTTCTTTCATTCTCTTCTAGTTTTCACCCAGTTCCTACCCTTTTCCTTTTATCCCCTTTTTTCTTGTCAGCTTTTACCCCATTTCTTTCATTCTCATCTTTTCTTTCATAACCAATCGTATTCCTACCCTCTGTTGCCATATTTTATCCCTTATTCCAGCCTTTTCCTTCCATTAAAATTTTCTGCCCCACCCCAATCACCTCACCTGGCAAGCTTCAATGAAACTTGATGTACCCAGAATCTCCTACAAGCCTGTTGCCGGACCTCAGACATTAGTAGCACTTAGTTACAAGAAAAAGAAAAAAAACACATAAAAAAACTAGCAACTTGTTTTCAACTTCTCATTTCCTTACAGGTGTTTATGGACCCAGATGGAGATACTCACTGGTAAGAATTAATAATACCTTGGAAATAATATTAAAAAATTCTTTAATCAAACATATAAGGTGGATCTTTTTTAATGGTCCTGAGTACCATTTCATTTCTTTTATTCACACAGGTACAAAGAATTTGAGATAAATGCCATCAATACTACTTGGGATCTGGAACTGAACAAGGTGAGTTCATGTCTCCACAAAGGACAAAATTTCAAGAATCCGTAAAAAAAAAACATAAAATCAGTGCAAGACACAAACCTCAAGTCTGTTTTATAATTTTGGCAATTGCACCCATGGCTTTCTGTGTTGGAAGGATTTTCAAAGAAACTAGGTAAGTAGGAGCAGTGTAAGACTAGCTTGAACTTCAACTGTTAAATCTAGTCACATATTCCCTAATGTGCAATTAAAGGAGACAGGTGAAATTCATGCCTCTAGATTTTGAACTGTGTGTTTAATCACCCATCAAAAAAAGAAGAATGTTGTGTATGTTTCCTAGTGTTATTTTATCTTTGTAAAGTGACTTTTTACACTTTTCCCTTGTAGCCATATCTCAATGGTGGCACTCCAAACAGCAGTTGGGAAATGCCAAGCATGAAAAGTGCTATTTTTGTGGCTGGGCCCATCAATAATGCATCTGTTCCAGGTTTAGTATAATTATTTTTTTTGTTATGCCAGTTTCACTGATGCTTGAAACACTTTTTCATGCGTTTACGTAACACTTCCGATTGGCCAAGTTTGAGGTCTGTACTTTTAAAATTGATGATGAACGCTGGATGTAATGTGGCTTTGTGGTTTGTAGTGTGGACAAAAAAAAAAGACTAATAAGGCCTACGGAACCTGAGGAACAGGCATCTGATAAGGGAATTGTCAGATGACAAAAACTTTGTGCGTTTCACTGAAGCAGCAGCAGAAAGGCGCTGAGAAAGATTTCCAAGATGGGCCATGACAACCACAATACAACTTTGCCAATGGAAAAATCGTTTTGCAAAACTTCCGTACAGGAGGTTAAGTGGACAACAAATTGACCAATAAATGACTTAACCATTATACTAGATTATAAAAGAGAATGCAAACTTACACTTGTTGTGTTCGTTCTTTATTCGTTTATGTGTAATAATCATGATAAACTATGGAATTGCACATGAAAGACAAGTACTGGACAGTCGAACTTGCTCTGCCCTTCACTAATCTTGTTGATCACAGTCCCACGGCATCTGCGCCACCAAATAACAAGGACCAATGGAGGATTAACTTTAGCAGGTTTGAATTTTTATATCCAGTCTCAAGTAAGGCCGAAAAACGTAANGGACAGTCGAACTTGCTCTGCCCTTCACTAATCTTGTTGATCACAGTCCCACGGCATCTGCGCCACCAAATAACAAGGACCAATGGAGGATTAACTTTAGCAGGTTTGAATTTTTATATCCAGTCTCAAGTAAGGCCGAAAAACGTAACGCCGTTAATAGCACTTTGACGTGAGTTTGTTGGGGATGATCCCTGGTTATATAATTATACCTGATCCCTGGTAGGTTGATCCCTGAGGCGTAATTTTGCTAAACCCCAGAAAGGCGCTCAGTACTTCTCTGCCTAGACCTCAATACAATACATTTTAGCAAAAAATTTTTAATAATAATGAAATAATAATAAAATAATCGAGTACCCACTTCTCTAACCTGCAGTCAATGGCTGAATTGCGGAGGAAACAGAGAGTTGAGATAGGACGTCCATATGTAAAGGACCAACAACCAACGACGACTACATCTCCTACTCTTATATACAATGTCACGGGTTCTTTTACGTCCTTTCTTCTTTCAACCTATTTGGGAGGATGAAGGAGACAAGGACAACGGCTTTAAATGTCACTTCCCAATGACGCCATCATCTGAACTGGGAAAGAGTTTTAATCACAGCTAGCATGTTTTCACAAGGTATTTTTAAAGACGTTAGTCAGTGTTCCGGCCGGGGTTTGAAGTCATGGCCTCCCGCTCAGCATAGCAGGTCTCTTCAGAGCTTGCCAGGCAACAACTGAGCTGTTTACCCCTGACAGGGTAAAAAGGGACAGTTCAATTCACCTGTCACCGCAGTTAAAAGGCTCCATTCTAAAGCTCTGTTCCTTAACATAGCAAACAGACAACCTTCTCAGAGTAATTTCTCAGTCACTTTTTCGTTTGTAGGGTTGAATGGCATGTAAGAAACGTTCATGGGCATTATGAGAAGGTTGGTAAGCACAGCTTGTTTTTTTATCAAAATTAATTCCCATTTGTTGTCCTTACCTGTAGAAGTAGTGGAGAGAAGTTGTCAAGCTATCAATTAAATCCATCTTGGGTGATCAATTGCTTAATTCTCTTAACCACTCTGTTTTATAAAGCACAGACATTGCGAGGAGAAAATTGATGCTGATCACTCTTAGGGCTTGAAGCGTCAAAATAGAGCTGGTGTATCGTCCATTTTTAGGTTGCGCTTGAGACTGGATCGGTGTTGTGTCGAATAGCAGCCGTGGGAATGTTTTGGGGGACGAATTATGACCCAGTTTCCGCGCGATTTCATAGCAGCCAAAAGATGTGTGATAGCTTCCTAAAACATTCCCACAATGCAATTCGACACAACACTGTCCCAGTCTTAACTCCATACAGTGTATGCTCAATCTTTGGGATCATTGTCAGAAAGGACGCTGTGATCGCAGTGACCTTTACTGGGTTGTCTCCATTTTATCTCTTCAATCGATGAACTGTTTTTCAGTGTTCCTAGCGATCGCACGGCTTTACACACACGCAAATAGTCCTTGTGTGAAGTCCTTGTTTCAACCTGCGTCCGTTTTACTTCTTATTCTTTCTGTCTGACAGGTTCCTAATGTTCCAGAAGATAACTGGGTGTGGTCATCACAAAGTGCTATTAATATGCACTTACCTGAGAGGTATGTACCGGGTATACGCCGTCTTTTCTTGGAGCGGTTACGTGCGACCTCGAAATATTATTAAGCATAGACACAACCATGACTATGAAGCACAAGAATGCTTTGTTGTACTCGTGCTTTTGGTTTTGGTGGTGGAGCTGTGAGAAGAATGAGAAAGATGGACTTCTAGTGAAATATTTTTTTACCGCTGTATTGAGGCAAAGGAGTATCAAGTGTTTTTTTTAGAGGTATTCACAAAATGAAATGTGGCGGATGAGAGGACAGCAGGCGGGTCCATTTTGCGTTATGCATTAGCGTGGCAACAGTGAGGTCAGACTTGCACAGAAACAGCATACATACTGGACCAGCATACATACTGGACCAAAAGTTCTGATCCAGACAAAAGTGCTTCGTCGTTGAGCCTCGTTCAGCTATGTGCAGTGTCATGTCTTCCACACAATCGTAATCAAGTTTCAAGCCATTAAAAGCATCGGACAACTTCCTCGCTAACGATCACCAGCAAAGAACTTTGAACTATAGCTATGTACATTCTTGAAATACTTCTGCTTATGACTCTGTTTACCAATTTCCGTAGGTGGGGTTTCATTCAGTTCAGCACAGACGCTGTGAACACAACAGAGTTTGTTCGCACACCTAATTGGCCTGTCTACTCCGCCCTTGTGATGATTTATGACGCCCAAAAGGTACTATATTTTATCTCTTTGTCAGACATGCTCTCATCTGTGCTCGTTAGCGCAATAGGTTCAGTACTAGGGCAGCAAGTATAAAGATATCCTGAGTATCGTACGGTGGCCCAGAAGGGTCACACATGCAAATTAAAAATGTTGCTGCAAACTAAAAATTTTACCTGCAAACTAAAAATGTTGCTGCAAATTAAAAATAGGACATGTAAATTAAAAATTGTACATGCAAACTAAAAATATTACAAACATGAAACATGAATGGGCCGACGGCTGTAAGGCCAGGTCGCACGGCTCGGACCAGATCCTCATCACTCATACTGCGAGCGCAGGACTTTTCGTTTTTAATTTGCATCGATATGTTTTCTATTTTCAATTTGCAGCACAGTTTTTAGTTTGCACGTACTATGTTTAATTTGCAGGTAATATTTTTAGTTTGCATGTACAATTTTTAATTTGCATGTACTATTTTTAATTTGCAGCAACTTTTTAATCTGCATGTGTGACCCTTCTGGGCCACCGTAGTATCGTTTGTCGATTGATACATGTACAAAGTGCTTTATACATCTGTATTTTTGGTCATTGTTTCTTTGTCGTTGTTTATAACGTGTAGAAATTCATTGCTGTGAATGGTTATTACACCGCTGACCTTGATCAACTTGAAATTCCTGTTGCTGTACGAACTGGTCAGTGTCAATATGAGCCTGCGGTTCAAGTAATTAAGACGTACAGCTTCGAGGCAACAGTTAGTCCAGTGGATCAGCGGCTTCCAGTGGGACACATAAGAGATGATCGCCTTATCTGGTTCACTGATAGCAGTAGCAATCCTAAATTACAAGTTTAAAAACTTTAACCATGGTAATTGAAGCTATTGTAGATTTTATACTCTAAATTATACGTGAAACATTTTTTCTAAAAACAGCTATGCTAGGAAACGAATAGGTACAGTCTGTAGCGCTTTTTTGCGGAATTTATACGTCTTACATTTCAGTCTATTTGTATTTTTTCCCCGGGAAACATTGTAAACTATAATGACCCATTTTACAGTTACAGGTAGAAACTACCTGGAGATGACCTTGTTTTGACACAACTCTTCCAGCGTTTTTATGAAAATCATGTTCTTCTAATGCTAATTATTAATTAATTACAATTTAGGAAAAAATTAAAAGTTTTATACATTTCATTAAGACAGGTTAATTTAAGATGTTCAACAATGGATGATGATATGACGTGCAAAGATAGTGCTTTTAACAAACGGCGCAATTCCAGAAAAGTTTTCGTTGGAAGACATAATAAAGACCATTAGATTCGAGGACGAGAACGAAATATATCTTTAATTTTTTTAACGTATTCTCATATAATATAAACCCCGGAAAGCGTCATTGTACTTTTTTTCCACTGAAAAAGTTAGCACGGGTATTTTTATTGAAGGAGGTTAAGCCCTCTCCCGATCGCAAAATGATGAAACCTCTAACATTTGATAACTTATTTCCGCCACTGCGATATTCTCGCTAAAACTCGTTTAAAGAAAGACGCCTTCCACTTTTCCCGCCAAAATGACGCTGGTGTACGCGCGAGCACTACTCAGAATTGAGATTATAGGGAGGTTAAGATGTCACGACGGCGACAGCAACGAAAACGTCACAAACAAGCAATAGGTTTAGATTGGCAAATCAACAACTCAGCACTGCACGTGCACCACGCTTTTTTGTACATTTCTTTGCCGCCAGTGCACGACTACGAGGTGAATTGCCAAATTTTTACGTTTCATCGACATCGTGAACATACGACGACAAATTTCTCTTTCTCTCCCTAAACTTGGGATTCTTTCTTAAGAATTCAACTCCAAGAAAGTTTGCCTACATTGAACAAAGTGAGCGAGTTGGGGTAATCGCACTGACGTTTCAAAGAACGCAAAGTCACTTTTTAAGTGACGTTTTTGCCGCCGTGGCTGTCGTGATATCTTAAACTCCCTAATCTCGTCCTCTTAGTCGTTCTCCTCTAAAGGCCTCTAATAACATATTGGTACTGTATTCTGCTACTGTAAAGTATTTGTATATGATCATGAAGTTAGGTTTATATATGGAACAAAAGCATTGGCGGCCGGTGAGGTTACTGAACATTCTGTTCGAAATAAACTATTTGAGTGGACCTGTTTGTGTTTGTTACCTTTTTCTTCGCGTTATTTTGTCAACTAGCTTGCTTCTGCAATTTTATCTCACTTAGCTCCGTTGCCTGAGGAATGCGAGGAACGCGGGCCGGGCGTCTGCCATAGAGTACAGAGTATAGAATTGGCAGTGTGCTCACTTGAGGCCCCTGCATGATACGCTAAACGCCGTGGCAACGCATTTTAAAAACGCTCCATTTAACAAAATGCACTAACTCCCAAAATGCTAAGTAACTAACTAAGAATTCGTCAACAATAAAAAACGACATGAAACAAGTTCTTAGGATATGACTGGACACTGCCTTGTCTGGCGACGAGATTTTGGCCAGTTTTCTGCAACTTAATGCACCCTAAATAGTGCGTTTTCGCCCTTTGTGGGGTTCAGGTGCCCATTTCTCGAAAATAGTGAGATTAAGCAGTGACGTTTTTGAGCGACGCATGTCAACCGGAAGTGAGCTTTTTTCTGTTTTAATATGCCTTGACGATACTAAATTTGTATTGATACGTGTCTTTACTCTTACAGAGACGATGTGCCAAAAAATCTGTTCAAAATCACGGCTTAAGAGTGCAGAAAGTCTACTTCCGGTTGACGTGCGTGCTCAAAAACGCCGCTGCTCAAACTCCCTATTACCGATAATTAACGCGCCCGGAAATCTGTTGTTGTTTATATTTAAGTCGACGTTTCACGATTTTTCAGCTAATTTCAATTCAGGAAAATTGACTGGTTTGTTAGCCAGAACACGGCTTTTATTCGTTAGATTTTGATCGGAATGTCTGATTTTTGGCCCGAAAAACTACCAGGACTTTCGAGACACAGGCCCCTGGTCCAAAGCACCCCAAGCGTTACATCACCAGTACCCATTTACACACTTGAAAGTAGAGGCAACTTTGTTCGTATTGCCTGAAACAGTGCGATGGTACAGTCTGGTCTTAGACAACATTTTATCCCGTTTCCAGCCGTAAGTGAGAAATTGAAAATATGTCATAAGGAGCTGAATGATTGTACATTTAATGTAATTTTTATAGCTTCAGTACATTACTATTGCTTAACAGCAGAAAAATAACACGAGTTTTCTTCACAGCTTTTCTATTATTTTTTCTTTTTTAGATCATCAAGTTGAAAGCCAATTAAAAAATCAAACATTGTATAACTATTGGCCAGGTGCGCAAAGCGAAAGCATGTCTTTCCTCTGTCTTTCTATCAATGCAAGCGTCTCTTTTTTCCGTGACTTGCTACCCGGCTGTGCGCCAGTTGTCGATGCTTGCGGCGTCCCTGGGGATAGAGCTCCAACACGTCGTCAATCACATGAATAACTCCATTAGTAGCCGGCAGATCGAGGTCACTAATGCGCATACCATTAACATAAACGCGACTGCCCCCGGCGTGCCTCAATCTGATGACCCCGCGGCCCATAGAATACATAGCAAAATGATTACTGAAAATCGACCAGTAGCTGTACATGCAGTGGATACCGCACGTGTAAAATGTTCCCCTCACCACGTGATGTTCCATAACTTCGGTCAACTCCTCTGGATTGGCCAGGAGTGTCTCCATTGTCCCAGGGGAGCGGAGCT